CTAGACACATTTGTGACCATTTATTTACTTTCTTACATAAGCATTTACAAACATAATTATAGAGAAATGTGCTCTGTTAGTGTAAATTTATAGTCAGTCTCTGTGTACGCATGCATGTATCTTATTATACAGTGAGCATGTATTATTACCTCAATCTGCCTGTCTATGGAAAGAGTCTGGTCTTGCTGATGGGGCGCTAGTAATTTTGTGACATTTACTGTATTATGTATCTTTCTTGAAGATTACATAAATGACTTAGGATAATATCTAGGGGAATGGCATCCTCTCTAAGCTCATCTATTCCTTTGCACTAAACATTTAAACTCCGCAGCTACAGAATCCATTTATGCTCCTCCTTTCTCTATAGTCTGAACAACTGTCTTGGAAAGAGATGGCAATGCACCATCTACTTTAGTCTGCAACTTTATGTCTTATGTAGTTTCCCTTCTCTGGGAACTCCACAAATAAGTCACTGTCATGTGTCCTTTCGCTCTGGAAATGTTAACTATAGAATGAAATAAGAGTTAGGTTGTAATATAACATTCAGAGTGAAGGCTGATGGTTCCTCCTTAATGCACCAGGCTGTGTTGCTGCAGATCTGGTAGATAAGAAGAGCACAAAGTTTTTAGGGTCACATGCAAGACCCACCACACAACACTGTTTGTTCAGAAACATTGTGATTGCAGGTGTAGCCACACTTAGCCCTGTGCCTGTGTGTAGGATGTTTCACTATTTACGGCTATACTCTGCCACCCTACCTCTGTTAAGTAATATTTTATCTGCCGGTAGATTTCAGAGTAAGACGATACTCAGTAGAGTGTCAGAATCTGGACCTTAATAAGTTATGTCCCTTCAGGTGTGAGTATTATTCACATACAAGATCCATATTACTACCTGCATATTGTAAATTTATAACATTATAAGGGGCTTGGATACACTGGTGATGGGGAATGGTATAAAAACTTAAGTCACATAGATATATTTAAGCATGCATAGTGGATGTGATTCAAACCCCACTGATTTCAGTCGGTTTTGGATCAGGTCTATCATCTACACATTTTATTTAAAACTGGACTAGATAAAGCATAAATCAAACAAGCTGCAGAGATCAACCCATTGGTGAGGCATGAACTAGAAATGAAGTTATGCCTCTTCCCTGTGCCCAACTCTTTGATTCTCTAGCTGGCCAGCTCCAAAGCTAGGACTGTTTATCAAGTGATTACATACTTTTGGATGCTAGTTTTGGAAATTTAAAATACAATCCATCCCAATTACTGTCAATTTGCTTAATGGAACATTCAGATTATAGGGAAAGGTTTTCTCAGGACCAAACTGCTTTGCATGAAATCAATAAAAATTGGCCCATTCAATAGCAAATGCTATTAAATGATTGCCAATTCTAAACATGATTTTCCTGGTATAAACAGCAAATAAAATTCATTGGGACATATGCTCTGAGCAAGTTTTCAAATTGTAATTGGCCAGAATTGGTCTGTTTGTCCATTGTTTCCAAACAGCTCTCATTGCCATAGCATCTCTGCTCCTAAACTAATCTGTCATTTAAATATTTGAATTAAAGCATCTCTCCTGGCCTGTGCTGGTACAGAAGGCAAGAACAGAGAAGAGGATTTAAGGAGCCTCTCTATTCCCCCCTCCACACGTAGTAAAACAGGATCTCTCTCATCCTCAAGAGCGTTGCAGTAGGGATAGTTCGTGCAAGTCCCCCATGGCAACTCTGTGAGGGTGACAGAAGTGGAACTATGCAAGGCTGGAAGGGAGATGGGCAAGAGACTTTTGAGTTGATACTTATGTGGATCCAGTGTCTGGGAACCTTTACATATGCCGCGGAGAAGGGCTGAGGTTGCTATTGCAGCCTGGAGGCTAGAACAGTGGTTGCAGAAGAACTGCGCTGCCTTCTTCCATGCTAGAGGAATTATTTGTAATCCCTCACAAACTCCTACTACATTCCCTAAACAAGACCCATTCACTTGGGTGTGTATGTGTGTGTGTGTCATTTGAGGCCAAACAGCAACATTATTTTTTAGAAAAATCCCCAAACAGCTAAATGGAAAAGTGAGAACTAATTTAGGTCACATTAACTGAAATAATTTCAATTTATAGTTGTAAGAGAATAAGAAATAGCTTGTTCTGTTTTACTAAGTATATGTGTTAACCTTTAATTCTCCAGTTCCCAGCAGTTTAGTTCTTAGCAGGTGCTGATATGTGAGTGGAGGATAGGAGTAAGGCAGATGGAACACAGATTCCTGTCACACCCAAAGTGATATTAATAACATGAAAGCCCTTCTACAGGAATTAAACTCTAACACAGCCAGTGGCTGATACACCAGCAAGATCAAGTGTTGGTTTTTAAATTAGTAAATTTAAAAAGAAAAAGTAATCTGTTTGAAATTAAATGCATGCAAATATATGTATTTCATGACTGCAGGATTTAAAATAGCCCAGACTTTATAACCAATAATATCTTTTATAATTGTGCACATTAAGGATAAACAAATCTCATGCTGCAGGGCTAATCGTTGCACGGGTTAGGAAGGAATTCACACACCACTACTCCTCTGCATGTACAGTACAGTTTTGCATAACCCAGAAGAGGCATTATGGTGGTTTGCCTTCCTCTGAAGCATCAAGTATTGGTTAGTACCAACAGCAGGATACCAGGTTTGGTTGGCTTAATCTTCTAGCCAGAATTCAGATTGAAGGTCCGAATCTCACCTTTCCAAAAATTTTGAGAACAGGAAAAGGACTAATATCACATATCAGAATTTCCTCTCACCTTTCTCACACAGGATCACTGAGAAGCAAATGAGAGGAATTCTTTGTATGTTGCACACCTTGCCACTAGAGGTCACCATATGCCTCATGAAATAAACCAGCAGACACCAGTAAAACAGGGAACTGCCATAGTCAGGTCCGAGATGGGACTGGAACCCAGGGCAATGGCATTCCAAGAGGACTTTTCTACTAGATGAGCCGAAGATGTAGTTTTTGTGTATGGTGTAAATCAAGACGTTGCTAATGAGCTTTAGAGCCATTCCCATTTACTCTCTAGCCACGGGTGGGAGTAACCAAAAGTCACTATTATCTAAAAGCTGTTTGGCCTATGTGAACTAATGACTTTGGTCTAGTTTCTAGTGAATATGAGTCCACAATTCACAGTGAGGCTGGCATTTTAGGCAGAGAGGTCAAGGACAGAATGGGTGCAGAGGGCAGACTTCCCATGACCCTAGAGGTGGCTTCTCTAGAAAAGAGTGAGGTACACTGGAAGTGGGTGAAGCTTGCACTGTTGGGCCCTTTCTGTGCTCTGTACTATACTCAATCTGTGGATAATGAGAGGACCGTGGTTTACAGTATTGTCAGTCTGTCACCTTTCACGGACCCCTAAAATCTTTAATCTCTGTATCAGTACATTCTCCGCTCAGAACTAGAAGGACGGGGAGAGGAGCACATACTTCGGGCCTCTGAAAGACTAAAACCACACTTATGAAAGGCAACACAAAACTAACTCCAATTTCCAGGTCACATGTTCTTTATAAGCTTTTTCTTTGGTTTTTCTATTGTTTTTTCACCCTGCAGCTGTTTCAGTTGTTGATAAAGAGCCAATATGGGTTTACGTAAGAGTGACCTTTGCAACAGCTCAGAACAAAAATAGATAATAAACTGTTATCCTTGACACTATTCACTAAAAGAGCCAAATAGTACTAGATACTACAGTGACAGAGAGAGACAGAATACAAGAGGGATCCTCCAGGATTGGCATAACTCTACCCAGGATCAGGATACCTATCCCGAGTGCCCCTCCACATCCCACAATATGTTGTCCACCTCCAAGAACTTCACTTCTACTCGTATTAAATATTTATACCATTCATATAAATATAATCCCTTTGCATGTGTGCTGTCTTTTCTCTTAAATTGTAGCCAGTAAAGAAACAAGACGTTGTCTGCTGTCCAATGGCACTTTCTGGGTGTTAAAATCCTAGGACTGCGTGAAATTATATGCTAAATTTAGCTCACTGAGGCTCCAGAATTACACATCCGAAGAAGTGGGCTGTAGCCCACGAAAGCTTATGCTCTAATAAATTTGTTAGTCTCTAAGGTGCCACAAGGACTCCTGTTCTTTTGGCGGATACAGACTAACACGGCTGCTACTCTGAAATACATCTGTGCTTATCACTACACAGCTGTAAGTCTGTTGCTCAAGAGACATTTCCCGCAACAAACTGCTGTAACTGCTTTTTTAAAAAGGAGATCCAGTTCATGTTGAGGTCCTGGGGAGGTCACAACCCATTTTATGGGCTTGAAATTAATTCTACTGAAAATCTTACCAAAATATTCCAATTCAACTGTTATGTCCTTCCTTTCTATTTGAACGTGGGTGGCAGGAGCCCAGAAGGAGTTTTGTTCTAGACAGACAGAAATCTTACTTGCCACAGACCTAGGTAATGAACCCTTTGGCTATCTTTTCTCAGTAAAGAAGAATGTGTCCATTTCATAGACACAGATTGACAGATGAAAGCATCCTGTAAGAATGCACCTGGATGCACTCTTTGTGAAATGTCCTTACTTAGCCATAAGTAAGCGCCTGGCTCATCCCCACAATCTTGAGTACCCAGATCCTGGGATTAAACCCGATTCATTTAGTACCCTTTTTGGGATTTTTAGAAGAAATCGAAGAGAATGGGGAGAGATGGAGGGGCCACTTAGTTATGAGCAATTTAAATAGTTTCTTATTTCTTAAAATTCCATTTTGTACGCTGATTCTTTAAGGCTATGTCTACCCTGCAATTAAACACTTGGGGCTGGCCCATATCAGCTGACTCGGGCTCGGGCCACAGGGATGTTTAATTGCTGTGTAGATGTTCAGGCTCGGACTGGAGCCCAGGCTCTGGGACCCCATGCGAGGGCAGGGTCCCACAGTCCAGGCTCCAGCCTGAGCTCGAACAACTACACCTCAGTTAAACAGCCCTGTAGCCTGAGCCCGGTAAACCCAAGTCAACTGACAGGGGCCAGCCATGGGTGTTTACTGCAATGTAGACATACCCTAAAGGGTCCAAGTTCCCTGCCTTGGAATAATAGCAGAGGGATGGAGACACAGAATCCAGTGACAGTGATTGGAAAGAGGCAATAAAAACGATAAGAGGATGCAGCATGTGTAAGGCTAAGATTTTGTTACGGTTAGTTTTAGTAAAAGTCATGGACAAGCATCGTCAATAACCAAAATTCATGGAAGCTCATGACCTGTCCCTGACTTTTATTAAAAATAATTATGACAAAATGGGGAAGGAAGAGGGTCCAGCACCCACTGCTGCTGAGGCTCCAGGGTCCCCTCACCCACGGTGGCGGAGAGTGTGGAGTCCCCCCTGCTGCTGGTAGCAGCTGGGAGCTGTGGGCTTGGGGCCGCGGGGATCCCCCGTCACCCATGGCTGCAGGGGAGTCCCTGTCGGCTGACAGCTCCAGCCCTGCCATTCTGGGACTAAAGCGAAAATGTTACAGAGGTCTCTGGGAGTCACGGATTCCGTGACTTCCATGACCTCTGTGACCAAATCGTAGCCTTAAGCATGTGTAATACATTTGTTTAACTCAGTGTTTCTCTCTGGATGTTGCATTTCCCCATGTCTTGCCATAAAACCACTTCCTTTTAATTGCTTTCCAGCAGGTGCAGGACGATCTCCGTGAAATCATCGACACATCTTGTACAGGATACCACTTGCAGGGAATTCAGGCTAGGTCTCTGTCTAGGAGCAGAGGAACTGCAATACTAGAGAACATCATTGCTTGATTTAACCATATACCCTGCTGCCAGCAGTCGCCTATATCTTATTTTCTGTTATATATGGAAAGCTTGTGTAAACTGGGAGGGCTCTTTAATGCTGTCCGAGAACAGAGCCTTCCACATGGAGCTTCCACCTGCCCCCTCCCCCCTCGGCTTTTGGGGAAGTGGTGGGCAGGGCTGGTGGCATTTCCAGGATATTTATATTGTGTTTGAACTGTATATTTCCATTGTAAGGGATGGCTGCCCACTGTGATTTTCATAAATATAATATGTCTTTATTGTCCCGTTGAACAAGCTTACAAGAAAATGTAAATACGCTGCTCAGGCTCCAACCAACTCAGTCTTTGCAGTGTGGTATGGAGAGCTGCATTCCTTGAGGTTCCAGATTTAGTGTGTTACCTGCTAACGTCTGTGCACCCCTCTTTAAACACTGAAGGCCAGATTTTCAAAGGTATTTACGCCTGAAGATGCATAAGGTACCTAGTGGGATTTCAGAATGGTTAGGTGCCCAGCTCCCATTGATTTCAATGCAAAATAAGCCTGTTCAGGTGCTTTCAAAAATCCCACTAGGTGCCTTTCTGCATCTTTAGGCACCTAAACACCTTTGCAAATCTTGTCTTGAGCTCTTTATTGAGCCCTCAATCCAATGCCCTGCCTCTGCTGAGATGTTAGCAGGAGAATTTAGCTGGGAGTGGCTTTCTGTCCATCAGTGCTAGCTTAGGGATTCTGCACCCTGTCAAAAGTGATTTTAGTTAATGATGGCAGAGAAATATCCAGGTTTGATACATTAGCCACTGTGGCTTTGGAGCTGCACACAATTAGAGTGCAGTTGTCCAAGGGCACAGATCATGTCTAATCTCAACCAAACACTGGACTTGTTTGAGGAACAGTGCAGTAAGAGATTCCTTCTGGAATACAAAAATATCAACGTATATCTCCCAATTAGCCATTGGGAGACATAAATGAGCAATAAAGGATGGTGACTCGAATGGGAACAGAGCCCAACATAGTTTAAGTAAGAGGAGATGGAGGTTGACTAGAGATACCTTAAATGCTGATGTGTAAGGCATGGAAAGTTCAGTCACATGAGGTGTGTAGTCAGCTAAATGTCCATTATTGCTTTCTAGATTACTAGCACAAGTGTAAAGTCCAGTAGGGCTCAGGTTACTTCTCCAGATTTGTACCACACCCTCGATGGCGAAAGAAGAGGAGTGGCTCTGGCCTTACCTAGGTCTTTTATGTTAACATCCATGGCGTGAAGGTCCTCCTAAACTGAATGAGTTCCTCTGGGAGACTGGCAAGGGTTTGGACTCCAAAGATGCCCAGTTTTTATAGTCTTGCAGGTAAAACAGAAACCACTCGTCTTTGCTGTATAATTATTTTTTGCTGGGACTTTGAAGATGTTTCAGTCTTTGTGGATGATTAACTTACATTAGTAAAATATCATTCAATACTATTATGAGAATTTGGTGTTAACTATACAGTGCCTAAGACGAATATCTGGGTGACTGAGGTGTGTATACTGTATGAATGAAGAACTGATAAGGTAGCTGTGAATTAGTAGGCTCTATTCATACCTCCAGGGATCTAATCTTGACAGCTTCTTACTTGACAACTCACCTCCTCTTTCCTCTTACATCCTTCCATGAGTAGGAAGAGATTTGGATCTAGCTGTCTGGGCACAAAACTGGGTGTCAGGAACCCCTGGGTTTTAATCCTGGCTCTAACAATGACTCCCTCTCTAACATTCAGCTAGTAGCTTCACCTCTCTGCCTTAGTGTTCTCATCTGTAAAACTGAGGGAATACTTATTCCTCTTCATGGGGTGTTATGGTCATTATTTGCTGTTGTAAAGTGCTTTGAAAATGAGAAGTGCCACACAATAATTATAACTTGATATATTTCATGGCATGCAGTGGTATGCATAGCAGTTTGCAGGCAGAAAGAAGACAAAGTCCATGCCCCAAGAAACCTACAGTACAAGAGCTAAGTTGCTCCCTTATTCTCTCCCCTGAGTAAGGGGGGAGGCACAGTTCCATCACCCCAGCAGCAGACTCCAGAACAAAGTCACAATTCCTCTCCCACTCCTTCCTTGCTCTGAAGGAGAAGTAATTACCCCTTCTCCATGAGCACCTTGCTTCCCTTGGGGTATTCTGGAGGGCAAGTGGGAGGAGAGGGAGGTGAAGCCAGGGCTCCTCCTACTGCCTGCCCCCTTACTTGCAGTGGGGAGTCTGATCTGAGTAGCCCCTACTCTCCCCGCATGGCTGGAGTCACAATCAGAGCACACGAAACATGAGAAAGGGTGGGGGGCTTACTGCCTCGAGCACTCAAGTAAGGGCTGTGACAAGCTAGCCCTAAATGAGCCAGAGATTACCAGGAAATGAAAACAAACTACGGCATAAAGGGAGAAGAGAGCACCCCACGCAAGGGAAAGGGAGGAACACTGCTCCTGGGAGGACACTATTTACAAAGAGTTTTCCGCTATGTTAGGTCATTGCATTGTATTGTCTATGAGAGACTTTAAATACGCTTGGAAAGCACAAAACTGATCCTAGTAGGATGTCCTTTCCAGTAATGCTTTGCTACCGGACTGGTCTCCTCTCCACGAGTCTAGCTTTCAGACCCAAGGTAAACCTGAAGATGGGTCTCCAAAATAGAAGTGCTGTTATTTAATTTTTAAAGATAAGCATATGAATCTCTCACTTGTTAGTCAAGCACCTAAATAACTTCCATTTGCTATTTCTTTTTTGCTGTTTAAAAAAAATAATTAAAGTAGCCCTGACTATCTTCCCCGCTTATTAATATTGCATGGAATCTCAAAAGATTTGAGAATGTTCTTAATTCAGATAAGTACCTTGCGGTTTGGATACTTAACTGAACCTCCCATTAAACCTCTTGGATCTGCCAAATGTGGCTGATTTGCAAGAAATCTCTGGTGAGATTTCTGGAGAGATGTGAATATGAAAAATAATTTGCAAATATGTAAAGATTTGTTTAAGTAACACTTGCTATCTTTTCCTTAGGGACGTGAGCACCTCAAACAGTACAGCTAGAAGTCATGAGATGCAATTATGAAAAGGAAAATGCAGGCTGAATAGCCAGCAAATTCTGCCCCCAGTTGTGCAAGTCAGGATGGAGGCCCTGATTCAGTAGCGTAGCTGGGGGGGGTGCAGGGGAAGCAGCCACTTCCCCTCAGCACATTTTCCAAAAGCGGCGCCTTAGTT